CTTACAATAGTTCATGACTTACAGTACCATTTGATTTAAATAAATGCTTAACTTTACAATAGAACTTGATTTTTTAGAGGGGGTAAAACATATTTTACATAACTCTGTTTGTTTGTAATTGAGCAAAAAGCTACACAAAGGGCTATCTGTGTTCTGTTTACCACGGGTATCGAAACCCGGTTTCTAGCATTTCAAATCTGCAAACATACCGCTATGCCACTAGGAAGCTCATAAATCTGAACAAACGTCTCTGGCTTACTTATTTAGTTTTAGAGGGCGTTATTAAACTTTGAATATGAAACCATAAAGTGACACAAAGACTTATAATTCAAGAGGTCTTACCTCCTGCATCAAGAATCCTGGTATAAGAGTCTCGCAATGAGTCCAGTACCTTCAGCATTTCTGTTTAATATGATTCCTTGTTTCTCTATAAGAAGTGTTCCATGAAGTGTCCAGACTGATCTCTTCTAGCTTGCTTCTTTCAGTACCTAGACTCTGGTTGGCCTCATATAGCTTCACACTTGGATATTGACTTCAAACACCTGCAAAGTTAGAATGAGAGCTAATTCACACCTAGTTGGCGAATGTAAGTTATGTTTACTCGGAAAATAATATTTTTTCCTGTTTTGATTCCACTTATTCGGTTAATACCCAAGTCATACGGTTATCGCCTGAAATATAAGATTATTTAACTGAGTGCTATTACTAGTACTAGGTCATAAGACAAAGGAAGCGACATGAAAGAGAGGTCATGTGGCATGAGAACAAAATAGTGTATAAAACACATGCAGTTCCTAGCTGTGTTTGGTCGATGTCTCACCATTCTTTATAGCATTATTACTAGTACTCACACTTTCCGAGTTTTCTTTTCTGACTTATCAGGTATTTTATTTTATGCATCTCAGTCTTCTTAACGTTCTATAGACTATAATATTGTTACCTATAACTACAAGCTGAATTGTTTTTAATCGACTTTAGCGCTTTATTTGTATTATAATCTTCTGTTTATAAAACAAAACATCGGTTATCTCTTCAACTCTTTGTTTTCATACCGTAATTTATATCTAGTCTAAAATAAAAACAACAGGTCCTAACACTAAGCAATGTCGCCTAAGCTGTAGGCACTAATCATATGAACTTATATAAGTAAGGAAAGAACATTAAGCAATGTCGCCTAAGCTGTAGGTACTAATCATATGAACTTATATAAATAAGGAAATAACACTAAGCAATGTCGCCTAAGCTGTAGGTACTAATCATATGAACTTATATAAATAAGGAAAAAATGCAACATTATCTAAACTACACTATATCTACTATATTCATGGCTGATGAGGCTTTTCGTAAAATACCAGAGCTCTTCAGGCTGGCTAAATTACGACAGATATAGTAATGGTTGAGACAATATTTATGTTATAAATTACTTGAATAACAACTGTCTTGGTTAGAACTAAATTACTTTGCTGAAGAGTAAATATCCCTTTTTTAAAGTCATTAAACTTCAGAATTACGCTTATGATTTTTATTAGCATGAATTATTCATTTATTTTGACAACAAACTGTTTGGTATTATATTATCTATTTTGTTTTGAATTTACTCGTCATTCAAAAAATCTGGCATATCAGTAAGCTCGTCTTTTTGATTCGGGAGCGGATCAAGTAACCACAGCGTCAACATGAGAAGACTACAACAGTAATTTTAAGAACTTATAAAGGTAAAGAGGAATGAAATAATATGCATCCTGGACTACTGTTAATAACGCTTAATATTGTAGTTTGAGCTACGTTTACTAACACTAAATATTGTAGTCTGAGCTACGTTTACTAACGCTTAATATTGTAGTCTGAGCTACGTTTACTAACACTAAATATTGTAGTCTGAGCTACGTTTAATAACGCTTAATATTGTAGTCTGACGTACGTTACTAACACTGAATATTGCAGTCTAAACTACGGACTAACACTAAATATTGTAGTCTGAGCTACGTTTAATAACGCTTAATATTGTAGTTTGAGCTACGTTTACTAACACTAAATATTGTAGTCTGAGCTACGTTTACTAACGCTGAATATTGTTGTCTGACGTACGGTTACTAACACTGAATATTGCAGTCTAAACTACGGACTAACACTAAATATTGTAGTCTGAACTATGATTACTAATATTGGATATTGTAGTCTGAACTATGGTTACTAACACTGTGTATTTTAGTTTGAACCAAAGTTATTAACAATAAATATTGTAGTCTGAACTAAGAACATATGACATGTATGTTTTCTTCCATAACTAAAGTAAAACATAAAAGTAAATAATCTTATTAGCTGTAAAAATTGTAATTATATTTTTTGTATGAGAAAGAAAATTGCTTACCCGCAGTAACGACGTGAGCTTAAGAAATATATACGTCTTAGTTGCTAAAAGGGCAAAACACGTTCATTTCTTTTGGTCTGGTTGTCCTTCTTTGAACTCTTAGCGTTACCAATATTCAATGATGTTACCTTGAAATGAATGGCGTTATATAGTTAGTTACTGTGGTTTTGAGAGAGCGATAATTTGGAAACACAAGTGAAATGTGAAAGTGACAGGAATGCTGAGAAATCTTGAAAAGATCTCTAATGTAAAGAAGTCTCTTTCAGTGTTCCATTACGTTTCTTCAAAATGCTGCTTCCTCTGTTTCAGTCAACATGAGATTGCGTGGCAAACTAGAGACAACTCAGTCGCGACCTGAACACTTTGTGTACTGTTACGGCTGGTTTTTCACCTGTTGTTATCCTAACATTTATTTACAGATTCCGTGTTTTCGAGGTATATTCATGAGAATTTACTCAGGTTTTCTTTAGTACAGAACTGAAAAAACAGTCTAAACATGGGATGGTCTCTGAATATTTAACGGACTTAATTTGCAGTGTATACAGAGTGATCTTGATCACGTTGATGCGTGATACGTACTACTAATTGTACGGTAAATGTAACTGTAACATAACTTTGGTAATACTGTCCTTACATACTTGTTTGTTAAAATACTCCTGTTTCTACCAAAAATGTATGAAAAACGACACAACAACATTAATTACATCAGAAAAGTCAAATTTATTTTTCTTTAAATTGTAACGTAAACTATCTACAATATTCAATTGATGGATACCATTTGGTATTTATATTCTTAATCCTTTAACTTCCATAGGTACATATATATATATGCCCCTTCTAAAGCACTGCCATGGGTATATATATGCCTCCTTCTAGAGCACTGCCATGGGTACATATATGCCCCTTCTAGAGCACTGCCATGGGTACATATATGCTTCCTTCTAGAGCACTGCCATGGGTACATATATACCACCTTCTAGAGCACTGCCATGGGTACATATATATACCACCTTCTAGAGCACTGCCACAGCAGTTTGGAATTTTGTATGACTTCAAAGAAAGGATATTCACTTTGAACCTTCTCAAAGTTTACCAGTTTCAAGTTTCAGATAAATAACGAAATATCCAAAACATGTGCATTCTTGTTTTCTGCTGTGTATTTGTCAACATGGCGGTGAAATAGTTAAACCCTTTCCTCAGTCGTTGTTCTTTTGTATCACCTCTCTTGATCTCTGTGAATAACGAACTATTATTTGTTTTCGTGAACATGTGGGACTGTCGTCTCACCTCTCTTGATCTCTGTGAATAACGAACTATTATTTGTTTTCGTGAACAAGTGGGACTGTCGTCTTTTATTTTTTTTCTATAAAAGCTTACTTACTATAATCTTTGATACAGTAATCCAAGGGGTAGACGAGGTCTCCACCCTACTCACAATGGGCTAATTCATAAAGAACTTGTGTTAAATTATTGAATAGTCAGAATCAGAGAAAACGGCCCATTAGCGCCATCGGATTTCATATGGAAAGAAGAAATTGCAATATCATCTCACACCGGTCTATTTGATTAAAAAGTTGTTAGATTATTGAATTCCAGGTTCAAGGAAAAATATCACGACTTTCATTTAAACAGGAAATGATGATTTCAGTGGTCAGCTAAACCGACACAGTAGTAAACACATTACTTTGAAATACGACACACGTAAAACGTGTACAAAACGTTGAAGCTATAGTTTTGGTACAATTAAAACGTATTGTGAAACTCCACATCCTTCCACCATCGTCAGGAGTACAGCATAGGTCCAAAAATATATCCAGTTCACATAATATTCAAATAAAGTATATTAAATAGATTCCCATACTGGGTTTATTTACTCCATAGGCTGAACTATCTTTTTGACACCTTATTTTTGTTTTGAATAATTTCTGAATGTTCTCAAACATTTTATTCCAGTACAAGTAGGTAACGCAAATGTAAGTTGCATGTCACAACGATATTTTATTTTCGTTCCTCTTAGCTGCTATGAAACTAAGTTGAAGTAGAAGGTTTTCAGGAAATCCTATAAAGACTCTTATCATGAATACGATTAACTCTAAAACTCATACTAATTCCACATGTACATCAAAGACTTTACATTATATTCAGATAACTATTTCTTTCTAATGCCTATTATCTTACATATATTGATTTATACAGTGGTGTAGGAAGGAGTTTCAAAGTGGGGTGCGTGGCTAGACATGCAGATAGTATAATAATACAACTTACAGTTGCTATATAAGTCAAATATGTAAAAGTGGGGGTGCTACAGCAACTGTGGTTCTGACGCTTCTAGATTTATAGAAAGAACTTGTGATCTACTAGTAATACTATTTTATTTTTTAATAAATATTGTGTTTATTGTCACTACATCTTTAGTTTGACGATACAACAACCTTTTATTATAGCTGTCTTGTAATGGTTTCTTTTGCTGGCTGGATTCTTTTTCGGATTATTCAGTAAAATTAAAAACTTAAAGTCCAGTCCACTTATTGGTAATGAAAGTGTTTTATTTCTGAAACTACAAGTTACACAAATGTAACTTATAAAAGTTCCATGTAGCTAATGATAAGCCTAACTCCACGATTAACGCTAAACGGTCACTTACTTCCTCACTTCTCTCGTATTTACGGTACATCTTGTATCTCTATTACTTCATTGAAAACACAAAATCCAAATTTACAGCACTGAACTAACTAAATGGAGAGACTCGCTAGTCAGTCAACAATTTCTACAAGCTACTCTATCCTAACTCGAATTTTTATACTTTCAAATCGCTTCTCATCAGGGCCGGATTTGGATGAAGAGAGGCCCTAGGCTATTCCACTTGTGAGGCCTCTCCCAATATCACACCCACCATGAAAGAGTGTTTTAAACAAAATTCAGTGAAGCCGAGGATGATGACGGGTGTTTAAAAGTCCGCAATTCACAATCCCTCCTCTAAAGGACATAAGATGTTATTGTTAAATACCGTAGTGATTGAAAAAAATACATAAATGTTAAAATCAACATTGTGAAAAACTTTTGCAATAACCGAACTTTGTAAACATTTTGTGGAATAAGCAGGAATCTT